CTAGTCTTACACTGCAAAATTAGGGACGGCTAGCGCAGATAGCCCTCGTGTAGCTTTGCGCGAAATTCCAAAAACAAACAAACTTAACCTCCAGATCTACGTGTATCTTAGAATTGTGTCACAATTTAAGTTTCAAATAAGTTTGTTTGTAATTAAGCACAAAGCTACACAATGGGCTATCTGTGCTCTGCCCACCACGGGTATCGAAACCCGCATTCTAGCGTTGTAAGTCCGCAGACATACCGCTGTGCCACTGGGAGGCAAGTTTAAAATAAGACGTAATGTTGGAGATGACAAAGATTGGCCGAGAGGGTAATTATAAACGTTGCATTACCGTAACCTTCGTACGTACTTAACAGTCTGATAACCACGTCGTAACGCTTGACTTGGTGTTTCATTTTCAAACATATCAGTGCTTTAGAGTTTTCGTCAAAGCTCGTGTCAAAGTTCACGTAACTTATCTTTGTTGTGTAATATTAAAACGAACAAACGCAATACGATACAACTTTATCCTGGTAAGCACACCGGGTTATCCAGGTTAATGTAATCCTCTTTTTTTATTTGTGCAAATATGATGTGAATTTTCTAGTTTGGACATAACCTGAGACTCGTGTTTAGCCTAATGCACAACGCTTACACGTATAAGTATATTATTATAAGTGTATTATACTGTACATATATGATACAATAATTAAGGGCTATTTTCCTCGCCTTAGATGTTTCAAGAATAATGTGCCAGTTGAATTTTAATGGATTTAACTGTGTGCAAAATATTCCACCTTGATTCGTGTTTATGTAGATTGATGTAAAAACTCAGTAAATAAAGACCATAATAACAAACAAGGCTCCAAAGATGTATGAAATATTATTTCCAAGTTCATTTCATTTTATTTCTAATTATATCATCTACTTTGATAATTTTAGCATTAAATTTGTACCTCAATAGTTATGATAAAGGTAACATAGGGCAAGACAAACAAGTGTTTCCATGCCAACAAGTGTTTCTATACAAATAAGTGTTACCTTGGCAACAAGTGTTTTCATGCCAACAAGTGTGTCTATACAAACAAGTGTTACCTTGGCAACAAGTGTTTTTCCTACCAACAAGTGTTTCTATACAAATAAGTGTTACCTTGGCACAAGTGTTTTTCATACCAACAAGTGTTCCCTTGGCAACAAGTGTTTCTATACAAACAAGTGTTACCTTGGCAACAAGTGTTTTTCCTACCAACAAGTGTTTCCATGCCAACAAATGTTTCTATACAAATAAGTGTTACCTTGGCACAAGTGTTTTTCATACCAACAAGTGTTCTCTTGGCAACAAGTGTTTCTATACAAACAAGTGTTACCTTGGCAACAAGAATTTCCATGTTCTTTTTTACGAATATTTTATAGCAACGGAGTATATTTATTAGGCTGGTCTCCACATAACAAATATTTTTGAGTTCACTGTAATCACTTGAGTGCATTAGACTTGACAGCAGTGCTAGCCCTTAAATATCAACATCTGACTTGTTATGCCCCCTGGCAGTTCAGATAAATTTGAGGGCTTACAACATTAAAAATTGGGATTTGAAAACCGCTGAAGAAATTTTGCAAGTAGCTCATAGTATAGCTTTGATCTTTAAAACAAAACAAGCGAGCTGGATAGTTACGATCCTGGCCCTTACGAATGTGATTTGTAGAGTAAATTTGGGTCGACAAACCCGAAATAAAAACTTACGCATCTATCCGAAACTTCATACCATATTTGGAAACTTTTTTCCGTGAATAAGTAAAGAAATAATATCTATTTTTTAGTGGCGTACTTGTCTACGTCTTGGGAATTACAGAATTAATATTTATTTCATTTATGTTTCTAAAGAACTGTTATTTAGTAAGCTTTATCCTTTAACGAAGAATTGTTGACTCGTTATGAGGGCAACAAATGATCTATTGCCTGAAACCACCAGTCAATAATTGTTTTATTCCATCCTCTTTCGTTTTAACTTTTACTAAAATCTGATTAATTAACACTTTCACAAAGTACATTTTAAGAACATTTACGGATGTAAATCTTGAAGTTCAACATTTTATCTAATCTTACGATTCAATAATATTTAGTAATTGTTTAATTTTCAAAATATAAAACTCATCATCATGTAATCATACCAATGAACGTATAAAATACACATCTCTCTAAACTTCAACATAAAATTAGGCCTAAATTAATCAGCGTGTTTTCACTGTACTGC